ACGGCACCTGATTCCACCTCTGAGGTTTTTGGAGGTCGGTGTTTGCTTTGCTCTTGTGTTGTTTAAATGGACTTTGAGCTTGAATACTGTTAGTTATCTTCATATTTCATCATAAAAAGAAGAATCTATTTCTAATTATAATAATCATGATTCCTTGGTTTATTTTGAGAACAAATCTTTGCACATTAATATCTATAAACTGTGATTACACAGAATCATGTAACTTTCTATCAAATAAACAACATGTAAATTACTCTTGCTAAACTTATTCTTATTTCATCTTAATATACATGTACATGTATGCCTATTAAATGCTTATGTTGTAGATCCATCATTATATTATATATTTTATTTCAGTAGCTGGACCACGGGACCAAATTTCCATGAAGGATATATATAGGTGCACACATCCATGTACATTGTAAGAAATTGGAGGTATATGGGGTGAAATACTTTTAGAATTTCAATCCCAACCTGTTATTTTTACAACATTAATAAGTGGGATCTATTTCACTATTGGTTACTTAATTAGGCACACATGTACACGTATGTGACCTTCGACACTGATTTATAAAGACAAATACTATGCCTACGAGCAATAGAAAAATTAAGGATTTATATATTTTGGGTTTGGTTGTATTTTTGAATGTAAGTAATGTACACATATACACAAAATCTCTTTAATTATTAAGAAATTGAAGACTTCCTATATAATTTATACATTTTTAAAATCTCTTTTTTGGATATATTTGCAAAATTTTGAATGAAATTGAAAGGTTTGGCGGCTAAACTTATTCATTTTACTGGCATAAACATGCGTTAGTATCACTAATTTTTTTTTTTTTTTTGTCTTTTTTTGTTTTGTTTGTTTGTTTGTTTGTTTGTTTTTAAAGAAGTTTGTTTGTAACATCTGTCTTAAAGTTGAGAATAGTTCACCTTGAATTTGTAAAGTTACTAATTTCATAATAATTGTGAAACTGGAATTCACTGATGAGACCGTATTGAGCTGACTTTTTTTTCTTTTCGAATTAAAACTGTAACAAAGGCTGGTTCCTTAGAAAAACGGATACCAAGGACATTTTACCTGTTTCTTATTGATTTTAAAGCAACGTCGGCGACTCACATTTTATATCAGTGTTATACAATGTACATCTGTATTTTTTCACACATTCCTCCACTTCCTTGAAATTGTTTATCTGCTCTCCGTTACCACGTGAATATCGGATTAATATTGGTTTGGGAGACAAAACTCGTAGATCGTGAATAATGTCTTACAGCATAAAAAGCACTGTCGATTTTCATTCTTTTTACAACAAAACGCAGAATAAAATTTTTATTCTTAAAAAAATTGTTTGGCTGAAAATAAGGAATTAAGATATTATTTGCACAATGAATATATATTAGGGATGGCAATTTGTAATCGGTTAACCGGTTACTCGGTCCGAACGATGGTAATCGGTTAGAAAATCTGTAATCCGTTAGTCGGAAAAAAAAAATATTTGTGTAAATTTGAATAAAATTTCCTGAAAATTTTATTTAAAAAATACAAATAAAGTATTCTGAAATGTTAGCATATTCATCTATCTATTCAAGCGGATTCGGATATAATTAAGGCTCTCCAGATTGACATCGCGTGGGGGTAATTGGTCACTTTTCGAGTCGTTAATTGCTGTCTAAACACATGTCGTTATACATACCCTGTCCTGTGTTTCTTTAATTTTAATTAAATGATCGTTGACTACCGTGCTCGAACAATGAGAGACAACTTGATCTTCTACGGAATTCCTGAGTCTCAAGATGAAAACTGTGAAGAGAAGATAAACGCATTTATGCAAGAAAAACTAGAGATAACTCAAAAGGTAGAATTTCATAGAGTGCATCGGATGGGTAGGACGATACCTGAGAAAGCCAGACCAATTGTTGCAAAATCTGTTCTGTTTAAGGAAAAGGAAATGGTAAGGAGGGCAGCCTATAAATTAGCAGGAGAAGAAAATAAACAATTTGGAATTAGTGAACAATTTCCTCGTGAAATCAACGAAAAGAGAAAAAACTTTATCCTTATTTCAAATCTGCTAAGCAACAAGAGAGGAGAGCACAACTCATTTATGATAAACTTTACATTGATGGGGAACTTTTCACACTTGACGAATCAGACGAGGAGGAAGAGCATGGTAACACAGATTTAAATTTGCCGCCTCGACGACGTACAGGCTCGCGTCTATCAGCAGCGGCTCCAGAGTTCACACCGAGACCCAGGGGTGGAGGCCGAGGAGGATCGAGAAGAAAGTGGGGACGTAGGAAATAGTATGGCAATCGAATATGGAATTGGCAATCGGTTAACCGCAAAACTTTCCGACCGATTAATCGTATAAAAAAAAATCTTGACACATTTCATCATTGTAAGCTCATTAAAAAAAGACTCTACAGGTGTTGGTAATATTATGTGTATATTTGATTCGAACACTGTATTTTTTTTTTCTTTTAAACCAAAAAATTAAGAAACTTACTAAAACATGCCTACAGTATCAGACATTAAAACAAATTGTCGTGCAAGTGAATTCTGCATTGTCATTGTAATCAGAACTAAGTGTGAACTATCGCTGAATTTACAATGTTTGTTCAGTTATACAATTTGATAGGTAATTTCAAAGACTAAGGGAAGAAAAGTACACATTATAATCAGTTCACATCATTTTTCATTTATGAAACTCTACATTTGCTGGGTAGTGATATGGTGTCAAAACATAAATCAAGATCTCGAAAACTGACCAAGTAACCCTATGATGTCAATCTGGAGAGCCTTAATTGTCTCCGAAATCAGCTTAATAATTTGATAGGTGAAAATGCTAAAATTCCAAAATTTTAGGGTTTTTTTTTTATATAGAATATTCAGCAAATTATGTTCAAAATAACACATATTTTAGTTTTTTTTTTTAACCAACCGATTATAATTGGGCCGACCGAGAAACCGTTTAACCTATTTCAAATTATATATATATATATATATATATATATATATATATATATATATATATATATATATATATATATATATATATATATATATATATATATATATAGTTATATAGTTTTATAGAGAGAGAGAGAGAGAGAGTAAATTCTGAAAGGATTTCTAAGAAAATCTAGTATCAGGAACCATGGCAAGATCGTTCATCGAAATAAAAATCCACTTATTGAATAAGCAGAATAGTTTACCATTTTGTAGACTATTTGTGTATAAATTTTTTTTTCCAAATCGAAAGTGTAAGATCCGTGGCATTTTGAAAGATTTTTTAAGTAACCATGGCAACACATTTCTTGAAAGACCGATACTCTATAAGTATAGTCTACTCGCGAGACAAGTTTTTTTTTAAATTTATCCTGAACTGTTGGAGTAGTAGCATTTTGAGAATTTGTATACAGACAAACAGATGGACACCTTGCTATTGCATACGTCTGATGGTAAATAGAGGAAGCGAAAGAGAAGTCAAAACTTACTCCAGAAACCAGCCATTGACAGACAAGGATTTAGAGGCCTTCGTTACTGCCCAGCATGCCAAAAAACATCACGGGTAGTATATGTATGCTGTCTTTCGTCTCTAATAGTTTTTATTTAAGGTAGTCTGGTCCTCAGGTTTTGAAAATCATGAGTTAAGTGATTGAAAATACTCACAAAATATCTCTGAATTCTTAAATTAATGTATAGTTACCCATGAATAGTTTTTCTTCGAAGTTCATCAATATAGTTTGTCATATTATTTAGGGAAAATTATCAAATCTCAAATATATTTCCAGGAAATGTGAATAAAAGCACCCCACTTTGATTTTCTAATAGAAAATTGATCAACAAATATATTTTAGGATAAAAAGCTATAGGTATCCAGACATTTGGAGAAACAGCATGTTTTATTTTTTAATGTTTAAACAGTTTTCGAATTGTTTTTTTTATATTTACTTCAATTTTTATATACCAGTAATACATAGTGTAAAAGGCTTGTTCTATCATTACAAGATATCTCAGATTATTTCTAATTTCATATTATGCTAATAAACATTATAAACATGTAAAGCTAGATTAATGAACTTCGATTTCTCCAAAAATGTATATACTTTTTGTTCTTTTACAGGTTAGAAATATCAGTAACTTTTTTTCAAAACAAGACTTCAAAGAACCTTGAAACATAAAGAGATACATGAAATGAAAAATCTTACATGAAAAGACTTCAGTTTCAAGCTTCATTTTAAGACTTTCAAAAATTAAATAATAATAATAATTTTAAGAATTATCATAGGAAAAGAATGATAAGATAAAAGTATTCAAATTTTAATGAAATATCTCCCAGTTTATTCTATACGCAAGAGCATGCTCTACGTACAAACAATTTATAAAACAAGGCAAGCTATCGACAAACAAATTGTCAAAACAAGGATATCAAGTCTCATTTAAAGTCAACATTTCGCAACTTCTATGGTGGATACAGTAACCTTGTTAGCAAATACAATCTATCATCAAGTCGAATGCTGACTGACGTTTTTCATACTAATTGATAGGCCATTATTTACACACTGAATTGTCTACGGATTTTTCCGTTTCCCCAATCTGACAAGGAGCATACAGATGGTGTGACCGGTCGACAGGGGATGTTTACTCCTCCATGACACCTGATCCCACCTCTGATGCTTTTAGAGACCTGTGTTTGCTCTACTCCCCATTTTATAGTTTTAATGAACTTTTGAGTTTTATTGCTGTTTGTTATCTCCATATTTCATATATTAATAAATAGAACAGGCTTGCTTGATGTTTTTGTTTTGGAAGTCAGGTATTTTTTTTTTACAATGTTTAAAATGTAATAATTAATAAAACTATTTAAGCTACTCAGTACTTTAGAATTCTGATCACTTGAAAACACTGTTTTTAAGAATATGTTTATTTCAAAATGCTACTTTCATTTCCATTTTTCTCTTTATTCAAAAATATTTCAAAATCAAAAGCTTTGTATTGGTAAAAAATAAATCTGGATTGAATCATAACATTAACTTAGCATGGATATAATTTAACAATTAAAAAAATACATATATGTAAATAATATTAGTTGTTTGTAAGTAATAATAAAACATATAAAAAAATCAACAAATACATCATCAATGTCTCTCTTCTTTACTCCAAACCTAAATATTAGATGAGTAACTTTAAGGATCACAATTGCTTAGTTTTTTTTTTTGGAAGGGAAGTCAATACTAGGTAGAGAATATACTCCCTCTGGACCTTTCTTTCACATGTGGAAACTTTAGGGAATCAAAATAAAACTGTAGTATTTCCAGGAAAGACAGTTCCATGTCTGGAATGACAATTTTTCCACGTTCCTCACCTGAATAGAAATGTCTTTTAGTCTCCTTTGCACCAAATTTAAGTATTAGATAACTTTTAGGATCACAATTGCTTGTTCATTTTTTTATGGAGGGAAGTCAATACTAGGTAGAGAATATACTCCCCCCAGAGCTTTTTTCACATGTGGAAACCTGTAGGGAATCAAAATCAAACTGTGGCATTTCCAGGGGAGGAAGCTCCATGTCTGGAATAGCGATTCCTCCATGTTCCTCACCTGAATAGGAATGTCTTTTAGTCTCCTTTGACTTAAAAACTCTATCAGTAAGATATCTATTGTCTTTCTTGGAATTATCCAGTTCTTTTTCTAACTGTGCAACTTCCTTTCTCAGTTCAATCTTTTCTTGAAGGAGACAATTGATCACAGACTCATAGTCAGTATCACTCATTGTCTTGGTTAGTGTTATGTTTTCCTGAGAAGCATTGTAACCTACATTGAGACCCTTTCCTTCATCATTGTCATTTATAAACTTGTTTTTCAGCAGTAAATGTCCAACAAGAGAATCAGTCCCAACCAGGGCCTGCATGATCCTGTCATTAGATTCTTGGGAGTCATAATCCTCTAGAAAGTGGTTGGGGCTGAACACCAGTTTAGCCTCCGTCTGAGTTGACTGGTTCCTCACCTCTGACCCTTTGTTTGCTAACTTGTTGTTTATCTTCTCTACCCTGTTGATCTTGTCCTGGATGGCTTCCTGTTGTTTAAGATGGAACTGATGTTGAAGTTGAATGGACTCTTGTGCATACTTAGAAGGAGAAAGCTGCAGGGCTTGCAGAAGGTATTCTGAAAAAAAAAAAAAAAACAAATAAAAAAAAAATGAAAAAGAAATAATCAAAGTACTGATACAGTACTGAAAGATGGGGTCAAGTACTAAACTTCATTATTTTACAAATTTCATAACTGCATCTTGAAAATTTTATGTAGGGCTTTGATACCAAATTATATATATATATTTTTTTTATAATTTAATATTAACATTTAAAAAAAAACGTGAAAAATTTATCTGCACATTTTTTCATTTACACTGTAATGGAATAATCAGTAACCGCTAGTCAAGAAACCTTTTTGAATTGTCCAAATGTCACTGGGTCCGAATTAATATGACATTTCCAGAAGTAAACAATTGATGATGCGTATGCAGTCTTGTATTATGCAACCGAGTAGTTTGTATACTAGAGTGGTTCAGTATTATGTTTTTCACATTAAAAATTTTCAAAACGGTTCTTTAATTTGAGTAAGAAAAACTTCATAAGGCTCTCTTTAGTTTGATAAAGAGTGTTTGTATTTTAATCAAAACAATTTCTGCACTCTTTCATGTAGCGTAGATTAAATTCATGTGTTCTCCCCAGGGCTTCCATTTTGAGGCCTCAACTGACAGTAAACTAATAGACAGGGTCACGTGACCCCTTCTAAAAATGAATATATGAAAACAGTTACTGATATTTCTTTACTCAGTCTTTCATAATAGTATATATCATTATAAATATTTTGTTGATATATATTCTTAATGGTCTTGAACACAGTTCTAAGTTACTGTTGTATGTTTTGACTCTGTATATTATTGCATGATGTGTATAAGAATTCAGTATTTAGAAAATCTTGACAATATGACAGGATAGACATTAATTTGCCTTTCGGGCAAGTAAACTCAAACTTTAATTGACTTGTGTAAACGTAAAACTCGGTTGCTCTATATTCAAAAACAAAAAATATTTAGAAGAAGAAAATTGTAAACAAATCTGTTTATTCAGTAATGTGATTTTCAGCAATTATATGTGGCAACTGCCACAATTCAGAATGTTTCTGGGGAAAATCATGTGTTGAATTTCATTTACAGATTACTGTAAGATAAAGATATACATTTCTTCAGAAATATTCACTTGCCCGGTCTGATGATAAGTTGATAATTTCACTTGTCTGAACTGAGAATTTACTTTCTTCTGGCAATCAAACAACTGTTAATGTCGATCCCTGATTATGTACATGTATGAATGGGGGATATCTATCATGATATCAAACTTTATTTAATAAATGCTAACATCAATCATCATTATAATAGGTAACATTTTGACATACATGTAGGTAACATTTCAAATAATTATCATATATCTTTGTAATCAATAAATAAAACACATTTTTCTGGTGCCTTCAGATATTTGAATCATTTGTTATCATTCTCTGTAATGAAAAATATAATAAAAGCAACTCTATTGAAGAAAATGCATTGAAGCTTGAGGATTGCTAGTTTGTTTCATACAGGTACAGAGTGACATAATATGAAATCTGAAGCTCTGCCCAACAGTCAATGGATCATAAGTATCAAACAGAATGATTTCTGGACTCAATCCCTTCATTTTTTCCAATCTTATTTAAATCTGATCTTTTCATCCTGCTGATATTATTATTACTGTTGTCCTATAAAGTCCTACTGTAGAACACATGAACAATTGTTGAGAGATATTTTGAACAACAAAGGGCTGAATATTCCTTTGCTAGTTTATCATATATGACGTTTTACGTCTTTGCTGTAACAAATTTAATTGATCATCGTCACCACGCGTCCATCTCTTCTGTTTTTGTGACCTTCACCTGCATACCCAGTTCTTAAATTTTTAAAATTTATGCCATGCTTGATTTTTCGAAAGTTTTTCCTTGAAAGTTAACAGTCAAAATAAAATTTTACCGACTTTGCTGACAGATTTCAACAAATCTGAACAAGGCATGGATACCTTCGATGTTTTCATCACTACTTGAATCTTTTTGCACATGGATTTGGTAATAAAATTTAAGTATAACAATATTAATTTTTGTCAGCGATGTGAGCAACATTTGTTTTGTAATGATCAGTAGCATCGAGGAGCTCCTAAGGACCGACAGTTGATCGTCGGCAACAATTGGCTCATCACTATGTCTGATTCGTTTTTGTGCAACTTGTGGGCAGGGCTTCAGATTTCATTGAGACAGAAATCAGATACAATTATTATGTCACTTTGTTTGACACAAACTAGCATTCCCCAAACTTGAATGGGCTTCGTTTTAGGATTCTCATGATCAAACATTTATGCATTTTATTCTCACCTGCTGCTCTGCGATGACAAAACATGGAATCTTCATATCTCTTGCTATGTAGTAACTGGTCTGCTTTTCTTCCCTGTTGATGGGCCTTAAAAAAAATTAGATGATGAAATTATGCTTTCTGAATATGCTAAATAAACATATATCACTTCAGCGCCTTCACCAAATCCATATTTTTAAAGTAATTCTCTAATAAATGGAATGATCAAATTTTCCTTACTCAATTTTGTAATCTTAAATCTGACACAGGACTAAATGTGTATATTTGTAAACATGGAAGATTGTGGTGTAATTTATAACAATTCCATAAAAGGAAGGGGTGGTATGACCACGCATATTCATTAATTTTATGTTGAACATTTCTATTCTTTGAGAAGTGGAAGGGAGGGTACATCATGAGGATCAGCTAATGATTTGCAATTTAAATTTGAAATTTCAAAATATTACACAACTGATAAAATTCATCCTTTTTAAAAATTATATTGAAAAAGTCCGGCCAAAAAAAAAAAAAATTGGCATATCCTTCACACATTGCCTGTAGATAGAATGCTATATTGTAGAATGATAAATGTCTTATCGACTGATAGAATACGTTCTATGTATTGACAATGTAGCGAAGAAAACAAGGGAGATATCTCTAACACAGTTTATTTACCATGGAAATTTCAGAGAGTTCCGAATGTCAACATGGTGAATTTGAGAAAAAGGAATTAAATTGTTGAAAGGTATCCACAGTCTCAAAAAAAAATTTTATTATTAATTTGATAGTTATTTTCAATGCAACTTTATCTATTTTCTCTAAAATCGTTTCGGGGCAATTATGCAATTTTCTGCTACATCGCTGGTATATGGGAGGCATTCTAACTGTGGTGAGGGCCTGTTTGACTATTCTACAGGTCCAGCACAATCTCTTGATTTAGCTATATAGTTTGATTTAGCTATATAGCTTTATTAAGCTATTCAAAATAGCTTGATAAAGCTATTTATGTGCAGTTTTTCAGAAAAATGTTTTTTTGTAAAAAAAAGACAAAAAGTCGCAAGTATTAGACTATTCATTTTTGTACTATGGGCTAACAAAACAACACCCAAAATCAAAGATAGTTCTAACACTGCAGCATTTGAATACTTTTAAGGAAAAGATGACTTTCCATTGTTTGAGTAACTGTACACTACCTTGTGTGAGTTGAGGCGTGGATAAGTATGATTGCTTCTCATTGTACTGAATTATTACCAATCAATTATCTTGTTGACCATAATTGGCCTCTTTTATAATTTCAATGAAGAAGTTACTGTATCAATTGCTTTATATAGCCCCAAAACTTTAAGAACTTTGAGTACAAAGTCTATTAAGGAGACACAATTTGATGAGTGATTTTTACAGGCATTATTTCCAGAAGAGTTCAAAGTTGAATATTATCACTGCACCAAGATGTGACTTTTTGTGCATGCTGAGAAAATAACACATTTAAGATCAAAGTATGATAAAATAGCTATATTAAGCTATTCTGAATAGCTTAATAAAGCTATATAGCTAAATCAAGCTATATAGCTAAATCAAGAGATTGTGCTGGACCTCTTTTTACTACTCTTTTTACATATCATAGCCTATTGGTATACATATTTATAAACCAAACCCAGGCACCTATAATCCTTCATAAAGGTTAAAGAAACTTTACATGAAATCAGAATTGACGAGTCAAAATTGGCATAGTTACAACGCGTAAACACTTTCAGTTGAATGCTACATTGAAAGTGTCATTTACATGGATAAAATGATAATTATCTATATAGTCAACTTTAATGAAAAAAAATCTAATAAAGAAGGAAATACAAGAATACCAAATTCAGGAGGTATAATATGTATGCTTTTTTGGATCTCGTAACCAGCCTCTATAACCAGGCAGAGCGCATGCGCGCAATAATTTTCCATCGAGATCGGAAAACGGGAGGAGGAAATTCGGAATAAATAATGGAAACTAGTAATGCAGACTGATACTATAGTCAGATGCAGAAATTTATGCATAATTCGATCAACTTTTATTTAAAAAGCAGAAGAATAAATGAATCAACTTTACAGTTACTTTTTATTTATTTCATTTATTTATTTATTTATTTATTTATTTCATTTTATTTATTTATTTATTTATCTTTCTAATAATTATATAAGTAACTGATTAATTTATTAAAAATGTATTTATGTATTTTTTTTATTTATTACATTCTTTCCTTTATTTATTAATTATTCCATCCATTAATTAATTATTTATTAATTAATTCATTGATTTATTAATTTGTATGGTGGTTAGTTTATTTATCTATTCATTTATTTATTATTCTTATAATTAAATAATTAAGTAATTGATTAATTCATTAGGAAGTTCATTTATTTGTTTATTTATTTATTACATTCATTCCTTCGTTTATTTCTTATTCTATTAATTAATTAATTAGTTTATTTATTTATTTATTCATTTATTTATTCATTCATTCATTCATTCATGCATGCATTTATTTATTGATTTATTTATGCAATTATCATATATTACTTTTATAAATTAATTGTGTTTACAGGGTCTGTATACTTATTACCAGGGTCTGTTTATATATTGCCATAGTTTGTATTATGTATCACCAGGGTCGGTATTATCTATCACCAGGGTCTGTATACCTATCACCAGGGTCTGTATACCCATCACCAGGGTCTGTATACCTATCACCAGGGTCTGTATTGTCTATCACCAGGGTCTATATACCCATCACCAGAGTCTGTATACCTATCACCAGGGTATGTATACCTATCACCAGGGTCTGTATACCTATCACCAGGGTCTGTATTGTCTATCACCAGGGTCTATATACCCATCACCAGGGTCTGTATACCTATCACCAGAGTCTGTATACCCATCACCAGGGTCTGTATACCAATCACCAGGGTATGTATACCTATCACCAGGGTCTGTATTGTCTATCACCAGGGTCTATATACCCATCACCAGGGTCTGTATACCTATCACCAGGGTCTGTATACCTATCACCAGGGTCTGTATACCCATCACCAGGGTCTGTATACCCATCACCAGGGTCTGTATTATCTATCACCAGGGTCTGTATTATCTATCACCAGGGTCTGTATACCCATCACCAAGGTCTGTATACCTATCACCAGGGTCTGTATACCCATCACCAGGGTCTGTATACCTATCACCAAGGTCTGAATTATCTATCACCAGGGTATATATAACCATCACCAGGGTCTGTATACCCATCACCAGGGTCTGAATTATCTATCACCAGGGTATATATAACCATCACCAGGGTCTGTATACCCATCACCAGGATCTGTATACCCATCACCAGGGTCTATATACCCATCACCAGGGTCTGTATACCCATCACCAGGGACTGAATTATCTATCACCAGGGTATATATAACCATCACCAGGGTCTGAATTATCTATCACCAGGGTATATATAACCATCACCAGGGTCTGTATATCCATCACCAGAGTCTGTATACCCATCACCAGGGTCTGTATACCCATCACCAGGGTCTGAATTATCTATCACCAGGGTATATATAACCATCACCAGGGTCTGTATACCCATCACCAGGGTCTGAATTATCTATCACCAGGGTCTATATACCCATCACCAGGGTCTGTATACCCATCACCAGGGTCTGAATTATCTATCACCAGGGTCTGTATACCCATCACCAAGGTCTGTATACCTATCACCAGGGTCTGTATACCCATCACCAGGGTCTGTATACCTATCACCAAGGTCTGAATTATCTATCACCAGGGTATATATAACCATCACCAGGGTCTGTATACCCATCACCAGGGTCTGAATTATCTATCACCAGGGTATATATAACCATCACCAGGGTCTGTATACCCATCACCAGGATCTGTATACCCATCACCAGGGTCTATATACCCATCACCAGGGTCTGTATACCCATCACCAGGGACTGAATTATCTATCACCAGGGTATATATAACCATCACCAGGGTCTGAATTATCTATCACCAGGGTATATATAACCATCACCAGGGTCTGTATATCCATCACCAGAGTCTGTATACCCATCACCAGGGTCTGTATACCCATCACCAGGGTCTGAATTATCTATCACCAGGGTATATATAACCATCACCAGGGTCTGTATACCTATCACCAGGGTCTGAATTATCTATCACCAGGGTCTATATACCCATCACCAGGGTCTGTATACCCATCACCAGGGTCTGAATTATCTATCACCAGGGTCTGTATACCCATCACCAAGGTCTGTATACCTATCACCAGGGTCTGTATACCCATCACCAGGGTCTGTATACCTATCACCAAGGTCTGAATTATCTATCACCAGGGTATATATATCTATCACCAGGGTCTGTATTATCTATCACCAGGGTCTATATATCTATCACCAGGGTCTGTATACCTATCACCAGGGTCTGTATACCTATCACCAGGGTCTATGTACCCATCACCAGGGTCTGTATACCCATCACCAGGGTGTGTATGCCCATCACCAGAGTCTATATACCCATCACCAGGGTCTGTATTATCTATCACCAAGGTCTGTATACCCATCACCAGGATCTGTATACCTATCACCAAGGTCTGTATACCCATCACCAGGGTCTGTATACCCATCACCAGGGTCTGTATTATCTATCACCAGGGTCTGTATACCTATCACCAGGGTCTGTATACTTATCACCAGGGTCTATGTACCCATCACCAGGGTCTGTATACCCATCACCAGGGTCTATAAACCTATCACCAAGGTCTGTATACCAATCACCAGGGTCTGTATACTTATCACCAGGGTCTATGTACCTATCACCAGGGTCTGTATACCTATCACCAGGGTGTGTATGCCCATCACCAGAGTCTATATACCCATCACCAGGGTCTGTATTATCTATCACCAAGGTCTGTATACCCATCACCAGGATCTGTATACCTATCACCAAGGTCTGTATACCCATCACCAGGGTCTGTATACCAATCACCAGGGTCTGTATTATCTATCACCAGGGTCTATATATCTATCACAAGGGTCTGTATACCT